GTCTTATACACGATCTCAATCAACTATAAAAAAAATTATTAGGATTGCGGTGGTATACAATCTCAATAATTTTTTAAAACTGATAAAGATTTTAGGATAATATATAAAAAGATTTGTACAGATAGGCATGAGAAAAAACGGAGAGAAAGAGAATGGAATACGACATATAGGCTAACAAAAAAGACAGGCAAGTGGAGAAATGATGTGACCATAGAAAGAGAAAGAGAGGATATAAGAAAGAAGGGTGTGGTTTATATAGAACACACGCTCTAAACAATCACATTGGAGCCTACATTCAAATAGTATTGAAAGATATAGTTTCAATATTTTGAAAGTTTTGTGATGATTTTAAATTATTATTATTTTTATTTATAAAATTTTAAGTTTAAAAAATAGTGTAGATCGAACATATCTATGAAAGTTTGAAAATCATAAAAATTGATGGTCGAAAAATTACATTACAAAAAGCTCTGTTTTCAAAATTTGAAATCTATTTTTTTCTCATGTCCATGTATTTTGATATCAAGATGATCAATTTGATGATATTTGAGCAACAAAACAACCCCGTCCTAATAAAAGTTTTGAGGTAGTAAAAGTTTTGAGGTAGGCTTTAATTTGATTGTTGAGCCTAGGCTCTACAAAAACGTCAAATCAATTAATTGTAACTTTTTGATGTCAAATCTAATTGTTTGGATGCGTTTTTTTTTATTATGAATTTTGTCATCCATTAGTCAAAATTAATTATGGCCATATATACCGAAGGTAAACATTCTCGTTATATATTTTACCAAAAATCTTTGACCTTTATCCGATCTCTACTTTTCTTTTTTTTATGAATTATTATAAGATTTTCCTCCCTTATTTTCCTTCTGCATTATCTCTCAACTTTCTTAAAAGGGTGCTGTTAGCATATAAATGCATCCTTAGATGTAGAGTTAAGGTATACCTTCAAATTCTATCATGGTATATAATTTTGATATAAGATGTTTTTGGGATTATCTCAAAATCTATTTTTATATCTAATTATAAAATTTTAAATTTCAAAAATGGTTTAAATCAAGTAGATCTATAAACATATGAAAATCTTGAAAATGAACGGTGTAGGTAATATGCACTATT